GTAAAGTGAGCTCTTAAGTCAGGGCCGGGGCCTAGGAGGTTCTATACCCAGTGCCACCCGCATACCTCTCCTAGCCTCAGGGCACCAACTTTCTACCCTTCCCACTGCCATCCCCGTCCTGCACAGGAGTCATGGTACCTTCACTGGTCACTCAGTCTCAGCTCTATGTCTTCTGATTTCAACAAAAATGAACTAAGGATTCACTGTGATGCAGACGCTAGAGAAGAATGAGCTGGGGACAGGGCAGCGACCTGGGCGTCTGCAGGCTGCTGGGCCACACAGAGACACCTCCCAGTGGCCTCAGCAGTCCCTTGGCTCTCCCCAACTCTGTCTCAAGTTCAGTCTGCATGAATCAGAGAACTCGAACTCGAACTGGAACATGAGCTGTTACTGTGTAGGTGAGGTTATAAACATTCCCTGGCTTCAGTGTCTCTCTTCTTTGGAGTTATTTTGTTCTTTTTTTTTTGAGACAGGGTCTTGCTAGGTAGGTCAGGCTGGCCTTGAATTCACAGCTTCAGCCTCCTGTGTGCTGGGATTACAGACATGCACCATCGTGCCCAGCTTCTTTGGAGTTTTGACATGAGTTGAAACCAGTCAGCATGCTGCCCTCTGGACAGGCCCTGTGAGGAGCAGCTGTGGCCTCTGACCCCAGGTGCCAAGGGACAGGCCTCTCTGCTAGTGCCACATGAGAGAGGCAGAGGCTGGCACCCCAGTTGTAGGCAAGGTTTCAAAGGACAGCCTCCTGTAACCTCAGCAGACATTGAGTGGCCCAGCCCAGTCACCCCCATTTCAGACCTGCTTGGAATAAATGTTATTTTGAGCCTCTATATTTTGGAAGTAGTTTCTCATGCAGCAAAATGTAACTAACACAAAAGGTCACTGTGGCTCAGCTGTGCACTAGCTCATGGGCGCTACTGGGTGTCAGCCTCTGAGTCCGGGTGCGGTGATAGCTGCACTGTTCCTTGAGGGGATCAGAGAGGGGAGCCCAACTAGGTTGGGCTGGGAGGAAGGAGAATCAAGGCCCAGGGAGAGTTCCTAAGGAAGGCACGGGCTAGCGGTGTCCTTGAGGATGAGGCACCATCAGTAGGACCGTCCTGGTGGGTGCAATGTCACTGCTCAGTGACAGTGCGGTCACAGTGAGGCCGGAGGGGTGGATGGGGCGGGGCAGACAGTGGGTGAACAGAAAGTGGATGGGGTGGACACATTCCCACATGCAGAACAGCTCACAGTCAGCAGAGGACACAGTTGAGAGGGTCAGGGACAAGTCCTGGACAGCACCTTACGAATGGCCTTCCTATGGGAAGTGATTCATATCTGACTTTCTTATGAATGTTATAGAGAATTTAGAAAGTGCGAATGACAAAGAAGAAAATAAAATGGGCTTCTGCAGGTGCAGTGGAGACATTACCAATCCTTTCCCCAGTGTTTCTCCACGCAGATGCATCCTGGGACAGCCTGCGGGTCTGGCTGCTGGGTCCCCTGCCATCCAGCTCCAGGAGGACCAAGGAGGAGGAGCTGAGCTGAGCTGGGTCCAGCAGCTGCCTCCCGCGGCTCTGCTGCAGCTGCCTCAGTGTCTGCATTCAAAACACTGACCTTAGGGCTGGCGATCTAGCTCAGTGGTGTAAGCGCCTGCCTGGCAAGCACAAGGTCATGAGTTTGAAAACACTGACCTTTCAAGGTCATTTTGATTCTGGGGAAGAATCAGAAGTCATCCAGTGCCAAATGCTGTGAATAAGGTAGATGAAGACACAATGGGATGTTTTTATTTTTAAAAAAATTGCTGTAAATGTTTTGAATCAGTTTAGGATTTTGTGGCAGCCATGGAAAGACACCCTTGAAAGAGGACTTGCAGAGCTCCTTTAGAAAGCAGCAAAACAGCCGGGGAGAGGGGTAAGGGGTGGCACACACCTGTAATTTGGGCATTCAGAAGGCTGAGGCAGGAGGATTACCACGAGGTCAAGGCCAGTGTGGGGGAACACGGTGAGTTACGGCCAGCCTGAACTGCATAGTGAAACTCTGTCTCACCAAACCAAACCAAACCAAACCAAACCAAACCAAACCAAACAAAACCAAACAAAACAAAACAGAAAGGAAAGCGGTAAGACAATGCAGTGAGGATGTTCAAAGCTAAGGGAAGATTTTAGGGGGACTCATGGCAAGTATTTTTGCTGTCATGATTTTTAATTTAAACATTTTTGCTCACATCGCATCTATTCCTTAGGAAATGTAAAATCTTGAGCTTTTTTCCAGATTTTATCTTCAACAGGGGTTGACACACACAGACCCAAATAAACATTTTCTATTTTGTGACATAACGTCTACTTCACAATTACCTAACTGTGCTGTTAAAACACAAAAGCAGTCACAGGTAATATATAACCGAGTGACTGCCTTCCGAACAAACTTTACTTATAAGAACAAATGGCTTCACAACAGGTGTGGCCTGTGGACTGTAGTTTGTTAATTTCTGTTCTACAACACCTAAAAGGGTACTCTGTCAATTAATGACTTTTTTCTCATGTTTGACTGTCTTCAATCTCTCATTAAAATTTTTTTCTCGATTATTTTCTGTAGGATTATAGTTTGTTAATTTCTTATGTTGTTTCATGCTTAGTTTTGTTTGGCCTGAATCTTGACTTGACTCTCATCATTTCTAGCTATTCATTTTTCAGACACCACTTAAGTGTTCTTTCTTTTCTACTTCTGTATATTTAAGAAAAGTTGTTATGGAGATTTAAAAATGTGTATAAAATGTAAAAGGCTGATTAAATAAATCCTCATATACCCATCTCCCTGGCTCAATACCATCACAAAAGAGCCGAGCTTCTTTGAATTCTCTCTCTAGTTTTCATTTTTCTTTATTTGAATATTTTATTTTAAATTTTTATTTGCTTTTAGTTTTTTGGGATGGGTTTCACTGTGTAGTTCAGGCTGGCCTTGAACTCACTATGTGGCCCATGCTGGCTTTGAACTCATGGCAGTCCTCCTAAATGCTTGGATTACAGGCATGCACCACCATGCCTGGCAGGCAGCAATATTTTAAAGATATTAGTTCACGAAGCTGGCTGGTGGTGCATACTTATAATTGCAGCAACTGATGCAGGAGGATTGCCAGTGATTGAGGCTAGCCTGGGCCTTCTAGTGAGACCTCAGCTCAGAAAAACTAAACAAATGGAAAGAAAGGTTACTTCCCCAATTTTATTAGTACCTCACCCATGTTAAAAATCCCTAACTGCTGCAAAATATACCTTATCAATGATTTATTGTCCCACTTATATACAGTGGAACACTGCTTGCCCACACAGAAGGGTGGAATCCTGTCATCCTGCAAAATGGACAGAACCAGAAAGCAGACACTGCAGGAAATAAGCCTGACACAGGAGGGCAAGTGCTGCCCATTCTTCCTGTGGCAAAGTTGATCACAAAGGAGAGGACAACAGTGGCTAAGGACGCGTGGCTGGGTAGGAGCGTGGGAAAGGCCGATGGACTGATCAGTGCCGTGTGAACTTATGCGGAATCCCATAGCTATGTAGAAGGGATGTTTATCAATAACATAAAATAAGTACAAAGATGAGTCCAAATAAAGATGCTGTCTTTCTTTAAAAAGAATTGATTGAGATATAGGCATCATCAACTTGATTCCTCCATAAAGTTCTGTTCAAGTTTTCTCCTAATGTTTTATTAGCTATTTATAATTTTGCTCAACTCATTTATTTCACTAGGGATCTGAAATTGCGATTTTCTAGTTCTAATGTTTTGTCTATGTTTACCAGCTAGAATGTTGAATAGATTTTGGTTAGTGGGTAAGTTTATCTTGTTCCATTTCTAGATGGAAATCTTTCATTGCTTCACTATAAATTATAATATTGCTGTTTAAAGTTGAAAAGCCCTTTATCAGGTTCAGAAAGTTTTCCTCTATGTCTAGTTTTCAGAGCTTTTTTAAACCATGAATTGATTTTGACTTGTGTTACATTATTTTTCTGCATCTGCTGACATTGTTTTTCCCATTATTTTGCTAATAGCTTATATACATTTAAATACTACATATTGTTCATTAAAAATAAAATTGTAGTAGCTTGGGTTCTTCAAGCAATGGACAACAGGAAAAGATTAAACAGGGAATATATTTGCTGAGGGAACTGACTACAGAATGAACAGAGGAGAGTGAGGTGGGCAGGGAGCCTCGACACACCTGAGACATCTACGAAAGGAGAGAGCAGAGGGGAGGAACCCCAGACCTCCGTGCAGCACAGCAACATTTTGACCTGCCCAGTGGGAAGGTTTGTGCTAGTCGTCTGCCAGAAGACTCTGAGACCGGCTCCTCCCAGTGTATCATCATAGGCTGAGAACGGGTGGGTGCTTGGCTTCACTCTGAGCCCAGGAGAGGAGCTGGCAATGTCAGTCTCTAGGTTCCTCACAGCAAGACCTCTGCATGAGTCTCCTTGCCCCAGCTACGTCTGTGGTGAGACAGGGCAGCAACCCCAGACTGAGGAGGAAATGAGGTGCTTGGACCCTTCCCCTGTGTTCTTGAGTTCCACCACCCACTGTGCCATCCAGAATGCCTGAGGGCATCATCAAGGCTGCAGGAGATTTAGAATGAACTTAGCACCAGTGCTGGCCCCGGAGAGTAATTGCAAAGACAGGGTCACCTCATCTTACCCATGTTCCTTTTGCACATTAATTTCTGCAAGATTTCAGAAGAACTGCTGCCTAGAGCTGTGTGAAGAAGCAATCTGTGACGTACCAAGGGGTGGACTGTGGTGGCCCTGAACATATACTTGTCTTCTCTCACACTGTTCAAGGTATGAACTCACTGCAAGAAAACGTGGGAGACTTAGAGAGAAAGAGACCAAGTAAAGGAAAGATCTAAGTACCACAAATAGCCACGAAACTGGTTGTATAAGAAAAGACTGATGAATTCAACTACATAAAACATTCTACATTGACAAAAGCTTTATGTAAAGCTAAATGTCAAAAGACAAACAAAAAATTGGAATTCATATCACAAACTCCAAAACTCTTTAATATATGAAGACTTAACTCAATAGAAAAAAAATCAGCAATAGTATCAGTCCTGACAGATGATAACCAAAAGTTCCAATCTCTCGATGGCTTAAACAGAAGTTTATTTTTCAGCTGCGCTGTGAAGCCACTGTGGGTCAGACGGGCTGTGTTCCAGTTTGCCTTCGCTGTAGGACTTATGCTCATTAGTGCTGCTTCCAGAATCATTCTTGGTCCCCATGTCAGAGGGCAAAAGAAGCCACTTGATCTTGTATTAGTAGTTAAACGCAGCCCTGAAAGTGGCCCTCGAGCCCTCTCATTGGCCTGCCCCGACCCTGCAGGCCCAGGCTGGGCCGAGTCTTTCAAGGTGAGCTTCGACCCTGGTGAGCAGGGAGATGGCCGTGCCAGCAGCCTGCAGCCTACGGCTCGTTCAGGTTTCCTTCTGAAGGTCGGGTCAGACAAAGACGATGGCAGATGTCATTACATGTCACATGCTGGTTATTAAAGAAGTAAAAGATTCCTCTCTTTCCAAAATTGGTAGTGACGTCTTTCTGATCAACAGAGTGGATCTGGGGATCTGTGAGGTAAATTAACCCTTTGCCATTACCAGTCACCCAGCCTAAAACAGAAACAGCAACATCTGAGAACTAGTCCCCTACCAATGACAGGCAAAGATTTCTAGAAAAGAAAACACAGTGCATGCACACATGCGTACATTATTAAAGATGTACTTTAGGAACTCGATCATCCACTGATTCACATTTAGTAAATTAAGAAATTTGGGTTCAGTTATGTATTTTAGTTATTGATTTGGAAAGAAGTGAATATTAGGTAATTACATTTGCCAAATATGATACATCCAGGTTACTGATTTTCAAGAAACGAGAAAGCAATAATGAGCATGGAGAATAACCCCTGAAACCACAGTGCTTTTTGTTGACCTTAATTTCACAGCAAATACGTAATAAATGTCTTTTTTCACTCAAGTGGGTTTGCGTGCCGTAGCTTTCTTACTATTGCATGCTTCCCAGGACAGAATCTTCTTTGCGTGTTCTCATTTCCCCAGCCCGTTACCGTTATTAGCAGTGTGGTGCATTTCTTTCATGATTTAGAAGCTTCTTTAGAGCCTTATGCATTAATGTGTATGTTCCTCTGCCCATTCAACAGACACTGTTTGCGTGGGGACACAGTACCACACATTGCTGTGGGCGCTGGGCCATGGCAGGGATCTTGGTGAACTAGCATTCTTATGACAGGGACAGATCCCTAGACTGCAGATAAGGAAAGTGGATAATGTGACAGGGGTGAAAAAGGAGACAGGCCCCGAAGGCGGCATGGAACTGTTAATACAGTTTGTCATTTACATGAGATGTAGAGTCTTTGCTCATAAGAATTCTGATTAAATACCAAACTGAAACAAAATTAAAATATTAATAGAGAATTTTTAAAAAGACTCAAGTAGACACAGCTTTCCATTTCACAGTGATTCCAATTTTGAATCTTAGCATCATGCTTAGTTTTTGTTTGCTCGCTTGCTTGTTTGTTTTTGAGACAAGGTCTGGCTCTGTGGTTGAGGCTGGCCTCAGACTCATTATGTAGCCCAGGCTGGCCCTGAACTTGTGGCAACCTCCTGCCTCAGTCTGTGGAGTGCGAAGATCACAGGCGTGTGCCACTACACCTGGCCACACTGTTAATTATGGCAAAGGGCTGGGGAAAGAAAACATGCAAAGAAGATTCTGTCCTGGAAAGCATGCAATAACAAGAAAGCTGTATCCCTCAAACCCACTTGAGTGAAGAAGATATTTACTATGTATTTGCTCTGGAATTAAGGCCAAAAAAATAGCAGGCAGAGTTTATATCTGACACATTACACACTTATTGAAGTTTTAGACATTGTTTTCTCTCAGGAATGATTTGTTACAAAGAGATGTGTCACAAAAATATTAAGAAAACTTAATAAATAAAAGTTCATTACAGTAAAAGACACTTTTTTTTTTGTCTTTTGAGACAGGGTCTCGCTATGCAGCTCAGGCTGGCCTTAAGCTCACTTTGTAGCCCAGGCTGGTCTTGAACTCAGGCAACGATCCTCCCACCTCAGCCTCCCGAGTGCTGGGATTACAGGGGTGAGCCAGCACACCTGGCTCCACGTCGTTATAATCTTCATGAACATACTCCCCTTCCTTTCACATACTCACCCCATCACTTTGGCACTTTCTGAAGTAGCTCTGGAAGTCTTGTTTTGTAAGGGTCGTTAGCACTGCCATGCTGCCTTAGTGTCCTGAATTGATTCAGAATGTTTGGCTATTGTGGTTGTTTTGACTTTGGGGAAGAGCCAGAAGTCACATGGAACCAGATTTTAGTCAATAAGGTGGATGAGGAAACAGTGTCATATTTTGTTGTGTTTTTTATCTTTTGAGACAGGGCCTCACTATGCAGTGTAGGCTGGCCTTAAACTCACTTTGTAGCCCAGGCTGGACTTGAATTTGCAGCAATCCTCCTGCCTCAGCCTCCTGAGTGCGGGGTTACAGGTGTGCCCACACACCCCGCAATGTCATGTTTTTATGAATCTCCCTTTCTGTTGGATGGCACTTGGCGGCAGCACTCATACTGGTTTTTTTTTTTTTTTTTTTTTTTTTTTTTGCTTTTTCCTTTTTATCGGTACCGGGGATCGAACTCACGACTGCCTGCTTGGCAGGTGCTTATGCCGCTGAGCTAAATCCCCAGCCCCAGCACTCACACTGTTGATTACACCTTCTAAACACCCTAATGACGACTTCTAGAATTGCTTCAGAAAGGCTCCAGCATGTGGCCAGTGGGATGAGTGCGCTCAAAGAAGAAAGCGTTTTGTGTGAGAGTCATGGCAATACGTCTTTCACTGTAATGAATTTTAAAAAGTTTAAATATTCACTATATAGTTTGCTTACCCCTTGTATAGTAAAACCAATTAATTCCAAATAGTGGCCTACACATTGAAACATCTATTAAATAATGATAATGAAGCCTGTTATGAGAATTTATCTTTACGTATAAGTAATATTCAAAACAAAAAATATTTCTCCTTTTTACATACCTTGTAAGTCAACCACAACATCTCTATGATTAGAAAACTCATAAGAAAAATGGCCATAAGCCAAGCCGTATTCTGTGGCTTTGTACTCTGTTTTCACCACTTTTGTGTTGTTTGATAATTTTACAAACTCTCCTGGTATGTAAGGCTCCACACTGATACATCCCGTTATTGTGTTGCCTTCTAAAATCTGAAAAATAGAACGGGAGGCAAGACACACAGTGGTTAGGGCAGCCTGCGGCTGCGTGGATCTGAGGCGGGGCCCAGGCTCTGCATGGAACTTCGTTCCTCTTCTCTGGACTCCAACTTCCTGGCCTCTCACATGAACAGAATGTCCGGGACAACTACATTTAGGTTGGTTAGAAGGGTTACAGGAGAAAGTGCAGGGCAGCGCTCAGTGCGGTATGCGGCAGAAACCAGAGGTTACTGTTCATCTGTAAACCACATCCTGGAAGCTCGGACCCTGAAGTGACCGCCCTAGTGCCCTGCCAGAGCCTGTGGGCAGAGTGTGCCTGAGGACGCCAGGTTGGAATGCCAGCCTGGGCACCTCCATGTGGCATCATACACTTGGTGGAGCTGTTTCAAAAGTGAGAGTTACTGCCTGTAAACTGCTTCACAATACACGACATAAAGTACAAACTGAATGGCAGTTGTTATGAATGACAAAAATGGGTCAAAAACACCTCTGACCAATGGGGGGAAAATGCAATATGAACTGAGGCTCTAATATATTTGAAGCCATAGGATTTTCTTGATCCAAGGAGGGGGAAACTCAGGAAAAGGATATTTAGTGAAGAGAGATGGGTCAGAGGTCCGGAAGGCGGAGCTGTGATACATGGGTAGGAGAACGGCAAGACAGATTTGGGTCAAAGCTAAGAACTTCCCAACAATTAGAATTCCTGGAAGGCAGGGGGTGATAATTAATTGTTCTTAGTGCCGGTCTTAGCTCAGCATCACTCAGTCTCGAGGAGTAGGGCCAATGGATGTAAAGCAGAATTTATGTGTCCTATGGGACAATTACTTGCACTAGGTATATCCAGGATCCTTGCTCTCTCTGCAAGGGCAGAGGCAACAGAAAAAGAAAGTCTGCTAAAACGCTAACAACCACACAGGACCAGATATGTCAACCACCGCTCCGTGTGAGCGGAAGAGCTGAAGGGTGTGCTGTGGGGCAGGAGGCTGTGCTTCTTGACATCTAAGATGACGAAGCAGGCAAAATGGATGGGGAGCCGGGAACCGAAGTTGCTGGATTTACCAGGACAATGGCAGGGGTAGAGAGGCTGGTGGTAGAAAGCCACCCTAACAGACATGTCTAGGCTGTTTAGACCTTGCATGCTTTTCAAGACCTTACCAGCAGCACTGTGGACGGGATGTAGAATATCTGTGTTGGGATATTTTGCTCATAGAGTTTCTTGTTGAACTCTGTCACGTAGTGCTGTGCGGTCATCTGCCTCTCCACATCAGCGAAGTGATGCCAGAGCCCCTTCTGTTCTTTGTATTCCTTCCCAACGTACCTAAGATGGAGAAGACCACGCGGCAGGCGTAAGAGCCCTCTCCTTCAGTGCAGCATGGGAGGGCGGGGTCACGGTTTGGATCTAAGACCCCACACTGAGCCTCATGTGTCTGTGAGGGCACCAGGCCATGGGTGTGTCCCCCTCATCAGCAGATTCATCCATGGGGGAGTCCACTGCCGAGTGCTGCTGCCGAGGCCTGGCTGCAGTGGGGCACGGGCTGTGACCTGGAAGGGGGTGTTCTTGCCTCGAGTGCCTCCTTTGGAGTCTGCTTCCTGGCTTCCACGGGTTGAGCAGCTTTCCTCCACCAGGTCCCTTCTCCCTGGGAGCCAGTCAGCTCTGGACTAAACCTACTGGGACCATAAACCACATAAACCTCGCCCCTTTAAGATGCAGGGGTCGGGTATTTTGTCTCAGCAACAGGAAAGCAGCTAATACCAGAGAAGATAAAAAGAGATACGCAAACATACTTGAAATATATTGCTTCCTCTATGTTATATCACCAGTGTTAACTGTCTTGACTTAGGTCATCATTCAAATAAGTTTGTAAGAGCTACCTAAAAATGACACATGCCTGATTTTAGCCAACCCAGAATGACGTTGATAAGGAGAAAGTGTCCACTTCATGGGGCAGCTTTCTGCACCCAGCCGGTAGGCCAAGGAGAGGATGAGCCTGGAATCTTGTGCAGTACTTCAGGCCAGCTCTTTCATATCTGTGGCAGGGCCTTATTCCTGTGGCCGGCTTATTCTGAAGCCCCCCTCACCCTTTCCTTGTGATGATTACCTTGTTTCCACAGATGCACATTTCCTATCAGCACCTGGTATCTGCACAACAATGTGCTAGTCCTGCCCGTGTCAAAGGAAGTATGACACGTGATTTATGTATTTCACGGGCTCATAGTACACTCGAAGGGAGAAGATACAAATCAGTAAAAGATTAGGGAAGACGTTAAGTACCGTGCTTTACTGTAGTTTATACTCGCTATAAGCTGGTGTGAAGTTATGGGTAATTTCACACGTGCTAGAAGGAAAGGCGAATTGTCAGAGTCACAGGCCTCAATGAAAGTAAACTGTTTCCAGCCCGTAATGGAATCCAGGGAGCTCATTTAGCCAGACTCTGTGGAATCAGAAAGGAACTCTGACAGTGGAGATTGCAGAGGAGGAGTCCACAGGGCATCAGGATGTAGCCCACAGAGGAGCCCCTACCCTAAGAGCAGTACTCCAGTGCTCCGGCACTTCTGTCATGGAGATAGCCTGAGGCCTGCAAAAGTTTGAGTCAATGTACAATTTTGCTTCCACTGACCAAGGCGAGAAATGTGTACTAAAGGAAAAACCTTGTGTGGCTGTAGTGAAGTTTCCCTGAGGATTCTTTCGGAGGAACTCCTGCCCTAGCATGGCTCATCAGCGTGGGAACAAACAGCAGTTCTTTCTTTCAGTTAGTGCCACTTTCCTGGGACCATTTTTTGTTAGTAAGGGTTTATGAGTGGTAAGCTCTCACTGCCATTTTCCTGTTAATCTGTAACGGTCTTTATTTGTCCTCCATGAAAGGGAAGCGCAAGCTTTGTTTCTGACTTCTATTGCTGTAAGTCTTATGGACTTTCTTTGGACTTTCTTATGGACTTTCTTTGTAGGTAATCATTTTTTAAAACTACTGTTCAGGCTTTCTTTGTCCGTGTTAGTGTGAAGTGTGACTCTGTGCTGGAGAGGCTTGATGATTTATTTCCTCCCTTTTTTCCAGCTTGTTTGTTGGCATTTTTACCCTCCTTGGGATTCATTATGGACTTTTCTTTTAAACCGGGGATCAAACTCACGACCCTGTGCTTGCTAGGCTGGCTCGTGCCACTGAGCTATAATCCTTGGGCCCTCATTATGTTTCTTACATTTGAAAAATTAATGCCTTTAGACAATTCTGGAAAATTATCAGAAATGCTGTATTAAATTATTGCTTTATTTTCTCCTCCTCCTGTTCTTTTCTCCTTCTTTTTGTTGAGACAGGGTTTTACTCTGTAATTCAGATTGGCCTTAAACTCACTGTGTAGCCCAGGCTGGCCCTGAACTCTTGGAAATTTCCTGCTTCAGCTTCCTGCGTGCTGGGATTGTAAATATAAATCAGCACGCTAGCTGCTGTCTTCCTGTGATCAGGTGTGTGTTAACTTCACATCCTTTCTGTGTGTCACTTAGTCTCAGTTTATTTCCCATCTTAGCTCTTTCTATGACACACCTTAGTGTACTAGTTTCCTAAGGATTATGTCACAAAGTACACGGTTGGGATGGCTTCAGTAGTGGAACCTGACCTCACAGTCCTGGAGGAATCCCAGATCAAAATGCCACAGGGCCAAGTTCTCTGAGGAAGCCTCCAAGATGGGCCAGTTGAAGCCTTCTTCCCTAGTTCCTGGAAGTTCTGCATCCTGTGGCAACATAAGGAAAATGTGCACAAGGCATTCTCACTGACGCACAGCTATCTCCACTTCCTTCTTCTTATAGGGATCCTAGTTATACTGGATTAGGAGAGGTTCATCCCACTTCACAGTGACCTCATCTTAACTACGTTTGAAATGACTGTTCCTAATGTAATCATTGGGAACTTTAACACATAAAATTTGGGGGGGGCACAATCTGAATCATAATGCCTCACTCTACCATCTACATTTGTGACTTTGGACAAGTTTCTGAACATCTCTGTGCCTCACTTTCCAGATCTGGGAAATGGGAATAATAATAGCACCTAAATCATAGGTTTTGTGAAGACTAATCTGGTAGTATATTGACCACTTTGAACAAGGTGTAGCACCTTGTAAGTACATGTACATGCTTACTATTGTTAAAACAATCAACTTTTTAGGAAATACATTTTTATTACTTAAAAAATCTCCTATCTCTTGTCTTTCTTTTTTATTTCTTTGTATTATTTGGATTTGGGTAAAGTATAGGATCAACTTTAAAAGTTTTGGCTCATATGACTTTTAAATTTAAAAATGGTACAAAATTGGGAATCACTAATTTTTCTGGTGAAGTTTTATTTAAAGTTTTCATCAAACATTAAGGTCAAACAGAAAGTCTTCCAGGAACTGGTCTCATGGTACGGGGTTCTTAAGATCACCTTTTTGGAGAGGACACTGTGCCCATCAGAGTGCCCTGTGAACTCTGCCGTCAGGTGCAGCTTTTGTCTCTAGCTGCTGCCTCACCACATCTGCCCACACTGCCACAGAGCATGCCTAAGAGTGCAGTGAGCACAAGTCCTGAGGCGCCTCGACGATTTCCCTGCCACGGCTGCGGGCCGGCCAGCTTACTTAACAGAGCCCCTTTCAGAGTGCAGCTTGCCTTTTTGCCAGCATTTTCAGCAAGAATGCTTAAAATTCCTTGGCCTACCAGATGGCCAAGAACTCCCATTTTTCCTTATCTGTAAAATGGGGTTAAGAATGTCTCCCTGATGGATTTGAGACGGTGTGTCTACAGCATCCAGTGAGGGGGCTGCTAGAACGGAGTCTTCAGTAAGTGGTAGCTGTCATTAGTGAACTAGCGATGAAGAGGAAGCGGAGGAGCAGCCTGAAACACACCTTTGGCCATCTCTCCAGCCCCGGGCGTCCTAGGGGGTCGGGGGCGCCCGCCCGAGCCCCCCATGCTGATTCCCGGCATACCTCCCCAGGGTTTCTTCTTGGTGAAGATGGTGAACCCAGAAGGCGTTCCTCTGTTTGCCTTTCTTCTTCACATCCAGGTAGTCCCCCAGATACACCGCCGTTTCCTGGGCTGTCCACAGTTCAGACTTTTTGGAATATTTTAACAGAAGACCATCTGGAAAAGAATGTCACTTTCAGAAAGAGGTTGCAAATCATGAATAAAGTTGAAGTGTGAAACTTCTTGCTCTAATATACATTACTGTACAGTTATGACGGTGGTCTACCTTGACAGAAGGCCAAAGTGGGAGCGCCTACCACTTCCTGCTTCTTCCTAAGCCCTAAATGCAATTCCCTTTCTTGTTTGCACACACAGAGAATTCTGATGGGTTTCTCACACGTCATCAATATCTGCCCCATGCGCCACTTCAGTCAGACGTCATTAACCCTCTGCCTGCCTCTCTGTATCCTGTCGAAGGCAACAGCCCGGCCGCCATGGGTTGTTTGCTCCTTTCCACGTCCTCAATAAACCTGTTTATTCTGTACTTTTGCTTCTCTATTACGCCAGAATACTCTAACGAAATGAATCAAGTCCTCAAACGGCTCACTTGAAACCTCCATCTTTTTAATCCATTCCTTTCAAATCTCGGCCTCCTCCAGGACCACTGCTATAAAGGTAATAAAGCACAAGGCTGAGGTAACCTTTGCATGTCATGGTGAAGCCTGGTGTGTGGCTCTGGCCTGACTCAATGGCCACCACCCTGAACTGCCTCAATGGCCGTTGACTCACTGGTCAGTTTTCCTTGACGTTCCCAGCATAGGATGAACTAGTACAACCTTTTGTGTGGCCGGTGGAGCTCTGTGACTGGAGCCCGATGCTGTCTGCCATTTTTGGTAGTAGCCTGAGATAAAGCGGATGCACTTTGGCCTGGAGGAAGTCCCAGCACCCTGTACGAATGACCTCATGAGCATGTACACTTCTCTCCCATTTTCTGGGGACCTAGTGGCCTGGCTGCCACCCAGAACCACAAGGTGCTACAAGGTGCCCTTTGGCTGCACTCTGTTAATCTTGAGCCTGTCTGCCTCTGGTCTCCCGGGTCCTTGGGGCAGGTTCTCATATGCCAGAAAAAGAGTGTTTTAGAACAAATGGTCTTTAATTCACAATTTTTGTTTGCTTGTTTTGGAAAACAGGGCATTAAAGAAGATTAGATCTCAACGTGGTAGCGCATGGCTATTATGTGTGCATGCTGGGCAGGATTGTGAGGTGGGAGGATTGAAAGTTTAAAATCAGCCTGGACAATTTAGCAAGATTCTGCCTCAAACTAAAAAATAAAAAGGCTGCAGATGTAGCTTAGTGGGAAGGCCCTGCATTTTCAATGCAAAACAGAGACAAACACAATAAGACAAAAACAGTGTTAAGGAAGAAACCACTTCTAAGGGAAAGACCAACAGGAACTCAAAGAAAGAAAGAGCAGTTTGGTACCCAAGCTAAAATTCAGTGAGCAAACCCGCATTTGTGTAGGCGTAACAAGAATCAGTAAGACAGGACTGGGGTCTACTAGGTAGTAAGGACAGCGGTCCCCTAATGGAGCTGGAAGCCCAGAACGGAGCTGCTGTCAGGACTCTCCAGGGATCTTATAAAAACATGTCGGGGCCTCTCAGATGTCTGGGACCTGCCCAGAGCATGACCAGACAGGCCGTGGGCTCAAGGACAAACGGCCCTGAGTGGACACTGCGTGAACACTGCACAGATTGGGCCCTCAAATCTACGTATTCGCTTATAAAGCAGAGGTGACATTGCTGAAGCAGCGGCCCAAGCTCCCTTCTCCACGCTGTCACGGCCCAAGCTGCCCACTAAGGTGTCCCACGCGAACCCCTCCTGGCCAGCAGGAGCTTCGCTTCCTCGCTCTGCTCCTTTGCTTGCTTGTCTTTATGTCTGGTAGAGAACTCGCTTACACCCACCTCCTTTCTCCTCAGTTCCATTCGCTGTCACTGTGGGAGAGGACTCTGGGATTCTGGTAACACGGACTGTGACATGAGGGGATGAACAGACATTTGGGAACAAGAGTACGCAGGATAAACCCGAGGGCCTGGTGAGAGGTGACAGGAGGGGGGTGACAACCAGGCCAGGTATGTGTAAGAAGCTGGGATGGAACTGGAGCAGCTCGCCCACGCCAGGGAGGGCTGTGGACTGAGGGCAGACAGAAGTGAGGGTACGGCTTGTTTTGTTCCTGCAGTTTTTGGCCTCAGTTCATCTACTGAGGTTTTTCACCCATGAACTATAAAGCAGTCACCTAATTCCAAGTGGTAGGATTCCGATATTGCAGCATCTCTGAGAAGCAGTGAGCTAGGACAGAAGACATAGAGACAGCTAGAAAGTAGACAAAGAAAATGTTTTAAAACTGTACTTCTGCAGGGAAAGGTGGAACACAGCTGTAATCCTAGAGCTGGGGAGGCTGAGGCAGAAAGTTCACGTCCAGTCTGGCCACACAGTGAGTTCCAGACCAGTCTGGGTTATATAGTGAGACCCTGTCTCAAAAGAACAGCTACAACATAATTCTACTTTTAAGAGATCTGAAATCTCAGGAGCACAAAGTGACCCAGGTTGCCTGTGTCTATACTTTATGTCTTCACCCCTGGGCTCACTTCTGTTGGTTATACTCCTTGGACCTGTTTTTCTTAAAGCTCATCACATCCATAATCCCTTAAAAATACTCTGAGTCCAAAATCTAACTTGGCTGATAAGGGCAGTGACTTGGGCTCAAGATGAAGAAACAGAGTCAGAGAATAACTTTGGCCAAACATCTTAGCCTGTTGACCTCAAAGGACCCCGCAAGCACCACACATGGCCTGGCTCCAGCCCCACTGTACCCTCTGCTCGGAGCCCACCTGCTCATGCTCATTCACTGCCTGCCTGCGCCCCTCCAAGGCAGAGGGTCCTCATCTCTTGTCCTGCGCCCTGCCCTGCCCAGCCTTGCCTGGAAAAGGGCTGAGTCTCTGGAGAACCTGGTGATGTGGTGACAATGTAGCCTGCACTGTCTTCAAAGTGGCAGACCAAGCAGGAGGCCTCTGATGCAGGAGTTCTGGGCCCTGGCTTGGGAGTGGCTGGTAGCACTCGAGAAGCTTACTGCCAAACTCTGGTACTGGGAAGTTCTGCCAAGCTTCCTGGCAGCTCGAGGGGTGCAGGAGCAAACACTAGCACTGGCCAGACATTCCTGTGGGTTGCAAGGGAACAGGGATGCCATTCTCTGCCCCGATTTGTCCAGTTTCTCTACATGTGGATACTTTCTGGGGCAGGACTGGGTGTTGCACCTGCAGCTCCACCATCTCCTGCCTCAGTCTCCCGAGTGGCTGGAGTCAGAGTCATGGCCACATCTGGCTGCCTCCATCACCCTCAAACTGCCCTCCCTGTCCTGATGCTAGGTGGCCCTACCCAGCTTCCTGCTATAGGAAGTGACCACAAGGGTCCCCCAGTGAAGCGCCACTGACCACAGCCGAGGGCACTGTGCTCCACCAACTCCCGCGGAGACGGTGGTGCCAGACGCAGAGCTGCAGGGAGCAGCCAGGTCGTGAGGATGCGAGCTGAAAACTACGGAGAAGTGACATCAATCAGACTCCATCAAACTGGCTCCCTTCTGCGAGAAGCAAATGAGTAAACAAGGTCTAAATGCACAACAGGTATTGTGACATGGAGAGAGACTGTTCCAAAGGAGAAAGGAAGTAGAACGGCTGAAAGGGAAAGCACGGTAGGGGAAAAGGAAGCCGCCAAGTCAGTTACACCATCAGTGTCTCGGTTCATTAAGAAGGAAGCTGAGTGCTAATGTCAGGTGGAGAAATTTTTATGGCCATACCTTGTACCCCAAGCAACTACTTTAAAGATAATATGTGAATAACCATTATTATTCTCCTACTATTTGCTATGAGATTTTATCTTTTTTCCATTAAAAAAAAATAACAAAGTGAGAGTCTCTGCTCCTTTGCCGAGTGAGCACCTGGAAAGGCACTGTCCATGGACAGAAGGAGCAGCTGGACTGAGTCTGCCAGCGCTGAGACCTTGGACTTCACCTGGGGCTGGAGAAAGCTGGCCCTGCCATGTGCACGCTGCCCAGCTCCAGGGCAGAAGCTGCAGCATCGCTGGCTGACCGAACTGGGGAGGTCCTGACTGGTCCTGCAGCTGCCCAGGGGGACAGGTATGAGACCTGCTTCCCCAGATCCAGAACGAAGGGAACAGAGAACTCGGCTAGCTCAGACCGAGAAGGGGGAGGAGGCAGGTGCTGGGTGCAGGCTCTGTCCTGACTTGTCTTACCTTGAGCCCCACCTCAGGAGGCCCAGGTCCTCCGGCCTCCCTGTTGGTTTCTTCCTCCCCTCTTCTGTCTTCCCTCTCCCTCCCTACCTTTTTAACTGGGGGCTGGAACTCAGGGCTTGTACTGAGCTACGTCTCTAGTCCTTAAAAATTTTTGTAAAAACAGGCTCTCACTGACTCATTACGCTGTCCACGCTGGGCTCGCACTTGCCATCCCCCTGCCTCAGCCTCCTAGCGCTTGGCCGGCTCGTGTGTTCTGACAGCAGATGTGGTCTCTCCCCCAGCAGCTGTCAAGGCCTCGGTGAAGGGAGGACATTCCACCGCGTGCTCCAGAGCTCCGCGAGGCCCACACGCCGCCCCCCTGCAGTGCAAGTGCTCACCGTGCGCCCCGCGCGGCCGGCCGGGCTTGAACACGCCGGTGCCCTCCAGCCTCCGCCGCAGCCAGCCATGGCCCACGCCGGCCAGCAGCTCCCGCAGGTCCGCGGGCCGCAGCGTGCGCGCCTCTAGCGCCTCCTGCTCCGGCCCTGGCCGGGCTGCCGCGGAGCCGCCGCAGGAGTCCAGCAGGGACCAGGGGCTGGAGCAGCCCGGGGAGCCGCTGGAGAAGGCGCCCAGGCCCGGCTCCTCTGTGGAGGAACAGCTCTCGCTGGGGACAGGGAAGGTGCTACCGCCACCCGAAGGGAGCCCGGGGGGTCCAGCCGCAGAGGGGGCGCCCTCGACCTCCGTGGGGCCCTCGGGGTCGACTCCTGGCTCCTCCGCGGAGCCCCTGGTCTCAGGGCAGGTGGGGCGACAGGGAGGGAGAGAGCTGTTCCCCGGCCTGGCACTGGCGCCCCGCGAACCACCTGGCTCTGCCTGGGTGCCTTCTGCAGTCTCTGCATCGGGGTCCACCCACGTGCGGCCTGGGTCTGGATCATGGGCTTCTGTTTTCCTGGCTACCCCACGCCCGCCTGGGACATAACAGCTGGTGTCTGCGAAATCAAGAATTTCAAAGTTGTTGTTCTGCACGGAATGCCACGCGGCCGTGTCCCTGTGCCCGACGAAACCAGGAGCCGGAGAAGCGCGGGGGAGTCCCGAGAGAGTCCCTCTGACTTCGCAGGTGTCCCCTGGAGCCCCCGCCAGCTCGGCCACAGGGACTGCCTGGGTGTCGTCAGAGCTGTGGGGTGCGAGGTTTGGTGAGGACGGGGCTCCGTGTAGAGGACTTGGGGAGGTCTCTGTAAAGTCATCCTTGGGCACCCGGAGAGACAGACCCCGCAGATCCCAAGGCACCAAGTGCCCGGCTCTGCCCTCGACGTCTGGCTCAAGCTCCTCACATGAGGCAGTGTGGCACCGGCTGTCCACGAGGTGCTCTGTGCCCCCAGCTGAGCTGGGCACCCCCGCAGCGCTCACCTCCTCCCAGCTCACAGAACAACTGGTCCCCGACAGCCTGCTCCAGCTCCCAGAACCCCAGCTGCCCCCCGGGGACCTCTCCTGGAGCTTGCTGCTGTGGTGCCCGGGTGGCTCTGCCCCAGGTTCCGTGTCCCGATGTGGGGCCCAGGCCTCAATGCCTGCCCTCTCGATTTGGTCTGTCCAGTAGCACAGTGTCCCCCTTCCTGCAGGAGAGCGTGGCCGGTCCACAAGGGTGTGTGTGTCTGGAGATTTGGTTTCTGTTTCTAAGGCCGTGATGCAGAGGTCTGTTTTTGCGTGTTTCTCGTGGATCTTGCTGTGTCCACATGTGCTTTCAAAAACCTCACATACTGAGCTGTGGTGCCGCGAGTAGCCGGTGAGGATCTCCTGGAAACCCACGCTCCCCCGCAGAAGAGGCTCATCCAAGCCACCCTGGAAACTCTCCGGAATGCAAGCTCTGGCGTCTGGGTTTACAAAGCTCTGGACACCGAGGCACCGCCTCACTTGGCTGATTGCAGACAGGATCTCTCCTGACACTGCCTCTGGGTCCTGGCTTGCAGAGCAGGAGCCCAGCCTGGCCAGTGTCCCCAGGGCCTCCACACACAGCCAGCGGGCCACACGCACCGCGGCCGTGTTCCCGAGGAGTCGGCGGTGCACAGTGGCCAGGCCGAAGGCTGCCTTGATGAGGCTGTGGAGCTCCTGCTTCCCGGCGGCCGGCGTGTTGTCAGTCTTGGTCAGCAGGCCGATCTCGAAGGCCTCTTTAGCCGCACACAGGTAGGAGCTGGTCTGGTTGACAGGGCAGGCACTGGAACTGCTGTAGGACAGCAAGCACATGCCGCGGATGTTCTGGGGAAACAGCAAGAGGAGCATTAGGTGCAGAACTGGTTTGGGAAGCAAGTCACAGTGTATTTCCGATTGAAGTGAAAATCAGAACAATTAGGGAGAATCACTTAAAATGGTGGAGGCAAACAAACATGCTATGGCTATTCTAAAGAAAGCACACTACTGTATGAAGGATGTGTGATGCTGATCACTGGATGAGCTGGGATATAAGCAGCTGGCTGATACAAACAGTAAGAAATGAGCTTCTGCCAGGTGTGGTGGTGCACACCTGTAACCCCAGCACAAGAGGACTGCAGAGTTTCCGACCAGCCTGGGCTACGTGTGAGTTCAAGGCCAGCCTGACTTCAAAAAGGAGACACGAGCTGTAACTCCCACCCCAGGTAGCGCTGCTGCTTTCTGATGGGGACGACGGGTCTCTGAGCACTGTCGTGGTCAGTTTCAGCAAAGGCTGCATGGGAAGTCGCTCTGTGAAGTGAGGCTGCTGATTACAAACCCCGCATTCACTCACTAAGAGCGGGAACATAGCAGTGGCTCTCGAGCCCACTGTGGAACTAGTCCCCTGGGGACATGGCCCTTCACTGCCCCAGGAGTGGCTTCCTAGACTACCCAACCCTGCCTGGCATCCTGGGTCCCTCACACATGCAGGGGGACTTTGCATCACCCTCCCAGCGCCCCACTCACCATGGCTGTGAGCACAAACAGGGGTGTGTAGGCACTGAAGGCAGCTGCCAGCTTGCAGGCTTCTGCTGCTGCCAGTAGCCGGTGTTCATACTCCTGGAGCAGGGCCTGGGGAGCCGGAGACAGGGGTGGTGACTGGGCTTCATCATCTGCAGGTGCAGGCAGGGCCCCCTCTTTCCTCCCAGCTTCCCCTCAGGAGCAGCACCTTGGGGAGAAAGGTGGCCAGTGCCCCTTGCTGCCCTCTGCACCCCAGCAGGCTGGATGGGCTTCTTGGAGACCTTGACTGCTGTGTGACCTGACTAGCTGACCTCTCACTGTCATGGGCAGGGGCCCTTTCTTCTTTTCTATTTTATGAAAAAAAAATTATAACCAAATAATAAGAGAGTAACAGTAATTATCACACTGTGCATCATCTTCAGAATACACAGTATATGACATAAAATCAGGAATTCTTACAAAAAAGAGCAGATAATTAGACAAACTTCTCTTTTAGCCAACTAATATAAAATTCTAATGTCAATGAAATAAATCCACGTATATATGGAATATTTTTAAGACAACGGGATATGTGTCTTGGGGGAAGGGCTTGGACGTCCCCTGCTCCCTCTCCCATCCTGCCACACCACTCACACAGAGAGGCCTCAGACATGGCGCTGTGCCCATCAACGTGGGCCCAGCTGAGGATCCCCACATGCCCCAGGAGCAGCTCCGAGCTCCACCAACCCCAGCTCCTCAGCCTCAGGCTGTTAGAGTCCAAAGTGGTCACAGAACTGTACTTGATTAGTGCGACTAGGGGTAAGGGTTTGCTGCCTGCGATATGAATCTCAGGAAGATGTTTTTTTCTTTCACATCAAAACAGAAAAAACGCTGGGGCATGGGGGAAGGACTGGTCAGCAGGAGCTGGAGCAAAGCGCACACCATTCCAGATGGTGGCCAGAGCCCTGAGAAGACATAAAGTGGAGTAAAGATGAGGGTGGTTCAGAGTGGACAGGTGGTTTGGAATCTTATTTTTGTTTTGTTTGTCTTGAGATGGCATGTTACTGTGTAGTTCAGACTGGCCTTGAACTTGTTGTGAGCCTCCTGCCTCAGCCTCCTGAGTGCTGTGTAATCAGTCATCAGGGATAATTTCAGTAGATGTGGGCATAATTCCCCCTTTTTTTTTGGAGACAGGGTCTCACCTTGTAGCCCAGGCTGGCCTTGAACTTGTAACAATCCTTCTACCTCTGCCTACCGAGTACTGGGATGACAGGCATGCACCACCACACCCAGCGGCATAACCTTTTTTTATTTTGATGTGATAGAAAAAGCCTCTTACCAAGATTTATATGGCAGGCAGCAAACCTGGATTACCTTACCCTAAGTTGCACTAACTGAGTGTGTTACTCTGGCCACTTTGGGTATCTAAGGAACTGGCTGCAGAGATGATAGTGCTAAGCATCTCCAAGTCAGTGCAGCTGGAGAAACAACTTCAGCGTCAGTGCTCCAAGCCCCGGAGACCGAGCTCTGTCCCTGGTTCTCTCATGCTGGCTGTGTGAGCTGCAGCATTACTTAGCCTCTCTGGGCCTTGGAGTGCTTTTCTCTAAAATGGAAATGAGATAGTCGGCTTTACCTATGTCTTAGGGTTTCCGGATATATATATTTTTTTGAGTTGTCAGGCGATATATAAATACTAGTCATTATTAAGGATAAGAGCCTGGAACAAATGACTAATGTACTGATTTGAAAAGACCATGATGGATTTTAAAGTTATTGCCCTTTTATTATCGATGCGTTTTGTGAGGACTTGAAAGGACATAAATGGCCCCAAATCGCTTTGCTACTATTCAAGTTTTCATTGGCTCACTAGAGTTTTCCGGAGCATCCACCTGGGGCCTGGTTCCGCTGGCTGCGGTGGCAAAGCCACCCAAGAGTGGCCCGGCCCACACCGATGCAGTCGGTGGACCCGCCCTGCCCAGATCTCCTGGCACACAGCTGACTGTGGGGGCAGTGTCTCACCATGCGTCAGACAAGCGACAATTACCAAGTTAACCTGGGGGTTGTTCTTAAATCTCTCATAGTCGTTCTCACTCATGGAAACAAAGATGTCTGCCAGAATCCCAAGTGACGCAGAGAGGCCCTGAAAGGAAGACACAGTGAGTCGGAGGGGAGTGTGGGGCTGAGGGTGGCCTGTCTGTGCACCATCTGCCTAGCGTTAGTGTTAGATTACCGGGGTGGCACTGAGGAGAAGGCTCATGGCACCCGGACCAGCCACAGACCCCCTGCGAACACACTGGGTTATCAGACTGAACCTGCCCACCACTCTGGGCCTCAATCACCGGCCCAAGAAGGAGCACTCACATGACATTCTGTGCTGTGAAAGGGTGGCAGCAGACACAGCTCCAGGAAATGGAACAGATAAACTGGAGCTTCAGGTATGGGGGGTAGTCCTACAAACTACAAAGAATGAAAATGCCAACTAGGACAACAAAGGATGCGTCTTGATTTCTTTTTCTTTTTGCTCTCTCTTTTTTGAGACAGAGTTTTACTGGGTAGTTTTGGCTGGCCTTGAACTCACTATACAACCAGGCTGGTCTCAGACTTGCCTTGATTCTCCTTCCTCAGCCTCCTGAGTGCTGAGGTTATAGGTGTGTACTACTATGCCCGGCTCTCAATTTCTTAGAGCTGCTACATAAATGATTAATTGAAGTCCACTCTTGTTCAAGAAAACTGATTATATATATAAGCAATGTGTCCCTGTCAATTCTGCTAGGGAATCAGATAGACGCTAAATCTGTAGTACCACAAAAGACTGGACCAGGGAGAGAAATACATAAATAGTCACAGATGATTACAGACACACTGTCTGTAACCATCCAGCAGTCTAATGAGCAAGGGCCGGAGCTGGAGACAGAAGGAGGTCGCTGCAGTTCCTCGCCATCACGCAGAGCACAGAGGGAACAGAGGTGACTGAGAGTCAGCTGAGCTGTGCCAGACAGACAAGTCACCGGAAGAGGAAAAAGAAGTGCAGGACCAGCAACCTTTTTATCCGGCAGAGGGAGCGTCAAATATCCAACGATGGAGGCACTTGTTAACTCGGCGGCTTCATACCACATGCCTGGAATGGGAGAGAAGCGGAGCTGGGCCTGTGCTCCTGGCCAGAGATGCCCCAAAGCAGCCAGGAGGGGAAACTCAGGACCTCATCAGACTCACCTGCCTTTGTTCTTCCAGCTGGCTTGACAATGTATTTTATTCAGCTGGAGAACAGTAAGAACTATTGTCTATTTTGTATGTAATATCTACTCTACAGTTGCCCCGTGGTTTATGAAGGTAATACCACCTTCTGTTAGTATTTTTCCAACCCTATGGCTGGGGGTACAGCTCAAGCATGCATGCAGCCCTGAATTCAACAGCAGCAGTTTGTACTTTTAACATAATTAAGATCTGATAACTTTGCTTGAAAAGTTCATGATTGCTCCAAAAACAATAACAACAACAACAACACCACACATACACACATGAGGTGTTTTGGTGGATTCAGAACAGGGTTTTACCACACCCCACATTGTGCTCAACTGAGTCAGAAGCTAGGAATAATACAGAGAATATTGTGCTTAATAGCCACAATATACAATTGTAAATTCCTCTAACAAAATTCCATAGAAAAAATTTTTGCATTGTTAACATTCATAATATGACTATCATTCTTTTGGCTTTTTTTTTTTTTTTTTTGAGATAAGGTGTCACTATGCAGTTCAGGCTGGCCTTGAACTTACTTTGTAGCCCAGGGTAGCCTTGAACTTGCAGCTGTCTTCCTTTCTCAGCCCTCTAAGTGCTGGGATGCTAACATTCTTGCTTTTAAATAAACAAAAAACAAAAAACACCACCCCCCCCAAAAAAAAACAACGTCTCCCAATGCTGCCTAGGCTGGCCCTGAGCTCCTGGGCTCCAGCATTCCCCCTGCCTCCGCCTCCTGAGTAGCCAGCACCGCAGTCAGGCAGCACCACACCCTTTTTAACTCCTGGGATCTTAAATTTCATTTGGGAGGACATTAAGAAGGACATTAAAGGAAGTGAGGGTCAAAAGTTTGGTCAGAAACAATAAGAACATTGCACAGAAAACACTGTAGCCTGCAGAGATAGGCGCAGTATCAGTACCAAGCTTTTGCAGAATTTGCCCTCGGATCTGTACACAGACTGACTGCACCAGGACCTTGTCGCTTTCATTTCTGTAGAGCCAGGTACCTAAATGAATGAGAAAAATAGTATCATTTTGAGTTACTAAGGGAACAGGCTGGTAAAGTGCTCTATCTTCATAGACATCTTCAGTAGCATGTGGATTGGGATTTGAGAGGCAACCGCATCTGTACATTTAGGATCAGAGCCCTCCCAAAGTCCTGTGCCCTCCTGTGGGCACCCTGCTGGGCAGTGCCTGTGCCTGTGCCCACTGGAACTCTTCCTTTGCCTTCCCCTGCCCTGTGAGCTGTAGCTGCAGCCTCTGCCCCGCCCCCAGGACTCCCTGTGACTGTCCCTGTGCACCATCCCCACTGGTTTGGATTCCAAACTGGTAAAGAACTGGCAAGTGAGGATGCCGTTTGTGGACCAGCAAGCTTGAAAGAGAAATCAACCTGCCCAGATCAGGGCAAGGGAAGGCCGGGGCCTGGAAGGCAGCTCTGCCACAGCCCTGCATTCTCTTCGGCTGCATCGCTTTGTTTCCTTCCTGCTCTTCAACTGTGTTTGTATGTGTGTGTGCGTGTGTACAAGAGTTGGAAGATGGCTAGTGTGCATATAAGGCGTAACCAAAATACCACGAGTATTTAAAATTTATTTATTTATTATTTAAGGAGAAAAAGAAAAAAACAGAAAAAGGGTACAAGTAATACAAAATTTAAAAAATAGGGGCTGGGGATTTAGCTCAGTGGCAGTGCCTGCCTTGCAAGCAGGCAGTCGTGAGTTTGATCCCCGGTACGAGTAAAAAGGAAAAAGAAAAAAAAAAGTAAGAAATCACTAGTTAATAGATTACATATTCTCATCTTAAAAATAGTTGTTCAAGTTACAAAATTGAAGCATATAAAGTGGACTTTCAAATAGTGAGAGTGCAAACAGTTTTGTTCAATGATCCAAAAAAACTCAGTAATATGGCTATCTTATACACTTAAAGATATATGCAGTTATAACCTTTAGAGCACTTTCTTTTCTTTTCTTTTGTACAATGACAATTACACATTTTGGGTTTTATTTCTCCCTCCGTTCTTATTATTTTTTTTGAAGAGAGTAAAACCAAATGTGACGTATCAGAACAGAGTCAGTCAAATCAAAAGGATGGACATAATAGATAATATAAAACAAAATACTAGGTGATCAACAATGGTTACCATACTGCCTCTTGTTATTTTAAGAAGAATTGGCAGTTATAATAAAATTGAACAAAACAGTAAAGAGTAAAACCAAAGCATTGGAGACATTACAGGACTTTAAAAGAAGATAATAGTCAACCAGAATGGGCGTCATAATGAATCTTATTGTCTTCAGTTTTTCCTATACTTTCGAACTTGATACTATCAAGCAAAGCAGAACAGTGGAAAATCAGTCAAAACAAGATGGTGCGGGCAATACAGGATTTCAAATCAAGTTAATAGGAAATCAAAGTAAGTTACTATAATGTATCCTGTTATTTTTTATTTATTTTTCCCTTAATTAAAAAGATAAAAAGAAAAAAGTAAATAATTTTAAAAAAGGGGGATTGAGATAAAAGAGGGCATAACAACAGAACAGCACAGGTCAAAACATAACTATTTAGGCAAAATAGTGTTTCCCCACAAGATATCCTGACATAAAAGTAGTTACCATAGTGTCTCTTTCCTTGAAATCTTTGAGTATAACTTCATATACTGTAGCACCAAACATATCAAGACACTATAAAACCATTCAAGAGAATGACATTATTACAGGGTATTTAGAACCAATTAACAGAAAATGAACAATGGTTTTTGTATAATCTCCTTGTCTATAAAAGTTTTTACTTATATTATCATATATAATAAAATCCAATAAAATACAACCTTTTAAGACCGATGGAGACAGAAGAATACAAGTTTGATGGGACTTCAAAATAAGATGAGACTAAATCAGCACTAGCTATTATGATGTCTTGTTTTCTCCAAAATAGCTGTTCCTACCATCCGATCTTCTCTGCCTCATTTCTGTTGAGCTCTTTTTCTGTTGTTTGTTGTCAGTTTGTCTTCTTCTTCGCTTTCTGCTCCATTCATTGTGGTCTCTCTGCCACTATTTCTGGAATCTTGGTATTTTCCTTTTTTAGAATATCCTGCAGTATTCTCTGTAGAGTTGAATTGGTGGTTGCAAATTCCCCTAGTTCCTCTTTATCCTGGAAGCACCTTGTTTTTCCATCAATTTCTAGGGACAGTTGTGCAGGATATATCAATCTTGGCTGGAGGTTATTATCTTTCAAAGCTTGAATTATTTCCCCCCATGCTCTTCGTGATTTGATGGTTTGTGCCAAGAAGTCTGTTGTAATTCTGATGGGTGTTCCCTTGTAAATGATCTGTTTCTTGTCTCTGACGGCTTTTAATATTCTGTTCTTATATTGGATTTCTGGAATTTTGATTATTATATGCCTGGGTGTAACTCTGGGTTGTAGGTGGCTGGGGTCTTATATGCCTCATACATCTGAGTATCTTTACCTTTTGCTAAACTAGGGAAATTATCTTGGATTATTTCTGTGAATAGCTTTCGTAGTCCATTTGTTTGTGTCCCTACTTCTTCTTTTATGTTCTTAATTCTTAAGTTATAGATCCTCTTATCATCTTCTAGCCTTTGTATTGTTGCTGTTTGTTTTTTTTTTATTTTTAAGAAGTTTTTCATTTCATGCTCCCATATTACAAATCTGCCCTCCAGTTCAGATAATCTATCCTTAGTTTCTTTCAAGCGGTTATGCCAGTTTTCAATAGAGTTTTTAGTTTCCTGGTAATCTCTTTGAACCTGCTTCACGTATTCTATGTTTTCTCTATTTTCTCCATTGAACAATTCTCCCCTTTTTTTCTGTTCTTCCATTCCACCATCTGTTTTTTCTTGGGCAGTGTTTAGCATTTCTCTAACTATTCTACTTATATCTTGCTTCAGGTTGTTAATAATTTCATTCCTGAACTCATTTATGAGGCTCTGTGCCTCATATTGGTGCCGTGTCTGATATTGCATGTTTCTCAGGATTGGGAGCCGAGGACCCTTTCTTGTTGCTCCCTCTTCCCATATTTTTTGTTCCTTTTATACAAGTGAATATGGGAGGCCCAGTTTCTTTCTTTGTAGGTTACAGTTTTTCTTGAATTGCGCCGGCTAGGTGTTCCCACCCACTGCAGTGTACTAGGGAGACACAGACCTGGGCAGCCTATGCTGGGCACCCCCTCCAGGTCAACCTACCAAAGGCCTCACTGCTAAGGTGCACCTCCAGGCGCTGAGACCTGGTTTGGGCTAGCCTACTGGGTCTTAGTCAGAGGCGTCATGCAGGCCAGACACTCTCCACCAATCCCACTTGATAGGGGAATATGTGACTGAAGTCACTGCAACAACCTGTTCCAGCTAGTCTGCCCGGTCCCAGTATGTCCTTTGCTGAAGCCTCCTATGGAAGGGTCCCCGATCCGCTCACTCACCGCAGGTCGATGCAGGGCTCCTGGCCAGTCCCACTCTCAACTCCATTCACCGCTTCCCATTCTCAGAGCTTTCATGCCTCTCTCTTTGCTGTGCTGATTGGGATTCAGCAGCGGCTGCAGGAAATTCAAATCGCAGCTTCCATTGGCACGGGGTCCAGCTACTGTGCTGAGACCTTATCTGTTCCTGTTATATCACTGGGATTGCATTTCCAGTTGTTTTTCTTAGTTTAGTTTGCTCCTGGGTCAGCAAAGTATATCTCCCCTTGCTTAGGATTTCTCGCCTGGCACCATTCCTGGATTTTACCTGCAGTTTCTCAGAGAGCCTCCAAAGCTGCCGCTATCTATCTGCCATGTTCTCCCGGAAGTCCGAATATTTAAAATTTTAAACATTTTATTACAGTGAAAGACATGTTGCCATGAGCCTTGTCTTTAGCTGAGCTGCTGTAGCGCCTCGAGCTCCTGAGTCCATTCAAATGTGTCCCTTTCACAGTCATTCTGACTTTGGGGAAGAGTCAGAAGTTGCATGCTGCCAGGTCACAATTTCCACATGGCTGAGAGAACTTGAAAGTAAGCGAGTATGGTAGATGAGGGCAAGGCATGGTTTTACAGCCTCCTTTCCACTGGGTGACACTGACCGCAGCACTCACTGTATTTTTGACCAGATGTCTTAAACACGCCACTAGGGAAGGCTCCCAGAGCTGCTTGTGGAAACGGCAGAGTGATGAGACAAGTGTGTTGCAGCTGGCAGGATAGTCAGGGGTGTTTGTGGCGATGTGCTTTCACTGTAATAACTTTTAAACATTTAATCCTTCACTGCAGTTTTGACCACCTCTTGGGTGGGAGCCTAGCAACAGTGGCCGTGTATGAGAGTGTGTAGCTGATGTCTTTCCCTTCTGCAAGTGCCTACAAGCTTCAAGGGCTTGGACCCTGGCACCTTAGCACCCTGAGCTCAAAGTCCCCTGGAAATTGTGTTCCACACTTGGAAAACGTGTTGATTTAAAACCCAGAAATTCCAACAAGGTATCTGAAGCAATCTACCTCATACCTCTTTGGAACTTCTTCCTTTCTTGTATGATTGAGTATTGAAAGAAAATCTATTTCAAAATAACTTTATATTTCTTACATAATGAAATAAATTTTCCAGACCATTTAAAAAATATAGCCGTAAGCATGCTTCTCGGAGTTTGAGGCTTTTATTACTATCCTAGTTTTTGTTTTTGTGTTTTTAAAGACAGGATTTTGCTATGTAGTCCAGACTGGCCTTAACTTGCATCAATCTTCCTCCTGCCTCAGCCTCTTGAGTGCTGGGGTTACAGGCACTATAGGTCACCACCCCTGGTAAATCCCAACTCTTCAGGCTGCTTCTGAGCCTTTTCTGAGGCTCAGCAAGCTACCTGCAGTCCCCGTTAGGCATCTGTTAGGCCCTGCATGCTGCATGGCCCATCGTGAAGTGGAGAAGCACTGAGTGCCTTGCTTTCATTGTTTTTGGAGTCAGAAAACAGAAACACAAAGTAAGATGGTTGACCCAAACCACTCATCCACCCGCCAGAGCCGGTCTCTGTCCTTGCTGGGATGCCGACTGCACACTGAGCAGTGCATGTGGGGTGCTGACCTGTGGCTCCGTGGTTGCTGATGAGGCTGCTGAGGATGTACTCTGCTTTCAGGAGCTTCCCTGCAAAGACAGTGGGTGTGCGGTGAGCTTGGCAACCTCTGGGAAACGTTTCTATTTTAAAAACCAGGAAAGCACACTTCTGGTGTCCTGTGAGGTGGTTCTGGAAACCAGAACCTGTGTCCCACTCAGCCCTCAAGGACTTGGGCACACGATGGCCAGGACACAGGGCTCTGGACTGTGCTAAGTGTTAGGTTTTCCTCATGTCCCAAGCTTAAATGCCATCCAGGACACTTGAGAGAAGACATTTCCTTCAGTCCAGCTCTGTCCCTGCAATCACCCTAGCAGAGCCCACGAAAACACAGGGACACAATTTCCACATGGCTGAGAGAACTTGAAAGTAAGCGAACCTGGGCTTTGAAGAGGTGACCTCCTGGGCCCACGTCTTCGTGTCCTTTTATCTCTGTCTTTTCTGCTTTTGCCAATTGACCCACTTACTATAGCATGACAGTTCCTTTTCAAAGGATTGAAGTAAAGAAATTTTAACCTCTTCCAGACCACAGTTATGACAGCTTAGTGAGAGCTAACGTCAACCAGAGTGTTCTGTTTCCAGGAGAGACAAGGGGCTCACTCCTAGGCTGTAGCCTGCCACCTCTGGTCTCCACACTGGGCGGCACGCCCTGCATCCCTCCAAAGCCGGCCTCCTTTCTTGCTCCATTCAAAGTGACACGGGAGAAAGGCACTCCCATGTCCAGTCTGGGGCTGCACGGGAGTCCTAAGGGATGGAGAGACCTCAAGGCGTGGCACAGGGCTGTCAGCACCATTGTCCACCCTGTCAAGTGGCCCTGCAGAAAGGGGCTGGGGCGGCAGGCAGAAACAGTCAAATTCTAATCTGCTTTTAGAGGCTCTTGGTCAGTAGTACAGCAATTCAGATACCCCTGTTTGGAAGCAGCGGGGCAGATTTGTTAGAAGACAAAGGCTCCAATTAGTATTTTCCACACCCTTTCACAATTTTCTCTCTGCTTTTGGCTCTGAAACCCTTTACAGAGGGCTTTTGTGTCGGTGGTGAGGCGGGTGGATGGGCAAGGGGTGGGTATGGAAGGGTGGCATGTGGGGCCCAGTGCCCGAGGCTTGGGGTCAAGTGCTCTGGCAAGGGGGAGTGGGGATGGAAGGGAATAGGAGAAAGGCCCCAGGCAGCACCCACCTGCGTTAACCGAGACACGCGCCTGTCGGATAAGCAGCTGTGGTGCGATGGGTGTGCTGGGCTGCAGGCGGTGCAGGCGCCGTGCCACCCGCAGGAGGCTGCCTGTGCCGTCCAGCCTGTAGAGCACACGGTCCAGCAGGAAGATAACGGCTGTGGCCACTGTGCAGTCCTGGGCCCGGATGGAGGCACGCAGGGCCACCTGTGGATGAAGGACAGCAGGAGAGGAGGTCTCAGCCACGTTTAGGAACAGATGGGCTCTGCAGCTCCTTGAGGGGCAGAAGTGCAGGGGGCCAGGCCCCATCACTAAGTGAGGGACACTGCAGAGCTTCCACACTGGACTGCACAGTGATGCTGTCCCTGGCACAGAGCAGCCCGAGGTTTGCACAACTCTGTCAGCATTTTAACGACATTTATGCCATAGCCAGGATGCCCCCAGAGACTGGAGTGTTAATGGTCTGATCCCCACCATGACCTTACAAGGGTTTGAAGGACTCCAGCCTCTGCTCACTGGCTGCCAGGTGGGCATCTTTGCTCCATCAGGACCTCCTGCCATTGCACCCACCTCACCCACCATAGAGAGCAGAGGCCTACTGCCTTTTGGACTGGTACCCCCAAAGCTGTGCCCCAAGCTAACCTGTCCCCTCCGCAAGGGAATCACCTCAGGTGTCTTGCTGCACTGAGGGGTGGTTAAAGCACAGTGCGTGCCTCTGAGTCACATTGGCCATACTGTTACATTTGGACCAGCCCAGGAGGCCATCTGTGGTGTTGCTGCACCTGATTTGAGTGTTGGGGTGTGTGTGTCTGTATGCACTTGTGTGCACATCTGTTGGAACAGACGTGTCTAATGACCTGCAGCACCGCACGTGGGGTGTGACATTCTGAGTTATGGGTGTTTACTGGGGAATGATACTCTTTTTTTCAAAATAAGGATTTTTAAAAATGTGTTTAGACTTTTAAACCATCAATGTGTTTATTAAGTATCTCAGTCACTTTCTCCTCACTGGGACACAATCTCTGACACCCACAGCTTAAAGGAAGACAGGTTTATTTTGCACTTAATCTGAGCCAAAAGGCCAAGAAAGGCTGGAGACGCTTTTTTGGCTTATAACGCAATCCCGCTTGGTGGACCCGAGGCAAACTGCATGGTGCAGAGGCCAGGGTGGCTGCTCACACCACACAGCCAGGAAGCAGAGAAGGTAGGGGGTGCTTTGTGATTGTGTCCCAGTGGGCCCCACTCCTTGGCCCCCATCTGGTGAGCATGGTACCCTCAAATCGAGTCTGCTTCCAGACACAGGACTCCAAGCGGGCATCGAAGAGGCCCGCTATCACATTTCCTCTCGGTTGAGTCTGTTCTGTTCCAATCCAGTCACTGCCCTTTTTATGACAGAGATGCCAGTTGCTGGGGGGCAATCTCTCTTCTCTCCTCTCACTGCTGCCTTCTAGGTCGACGTCTGAGCTGCTTCAGGCTGTCTACCCTGTGCTGGCTCTGAGCTTGGGTGGGAGCCGACCTGATGGGTCAGTTGGAACATGCGCATCTCCCTTTGTTTCTCTTGAGAGCAAGCTGCAGAAAGGACATAGCGATTCTTTCTGCTCTTTCTGTCTTATCTAATAAGCCTCCCCTGTGAGGTTCTGGTGATCCCACCGTGACGGTGTGTACAAGCTGCCATAATCTTGGAAGTCACATTGCAGACCTCCTAGTCTTAGCTTGAACTTTTACATACATTTTTTCATACAGTTTACTCTGTTAGGGTTAAGCATTTAATGTCTTGTGTGTCTAACTCTTCTGTTTTACTTCTCGTCCAGAAAAGAAAGGGGCAATATTTATTGCATCCTTCAAAAACCCAGACAGGAAACCTCGTCTTTCCACAGTACACTGTAACCTACAACTCACTCAAAAATCTAAATAAGTAAAGGAAGCAGGCTGAGAGGGTGAAGCGACTTTCCAAAGTTACAAAATCAAGACAGTCAAAGCCAGGCAGGCATTGAGGTCTTTCTCCTATTTTCTCTCTGTATACACATAAAATCGTATTTAAAAAACATGAGAGGCCAGGTATGGTGGCACACACCTGTAACCTTAGCACTCCAGAGGCTGAGGCTGGAGGATCACTGTGTGTTTGAGGCTAGCTTGAGCTAGAAAGTGAGTTCAAGGTCAGCCTGAAGTGCACAGTAAGACTCTGTCTCAGACAAAACAAATAAAAACACACACGATAAACTTTACCATTAGTCCTTTAAAGTGTACATTTCAGTTGTGTTGAGTATATTCACACTGCCATGAAGCAGATCTCCAGAATGCTTTCATCTTGCAGATTTGAAATTCCTTGCCCATTAAGCAACCCCTCGCTCAGCCTCAGATCCTGACATCCTACCCTGCTTTCCTTTCTGTGAGTTCATTTACTTTCGATGGCTCATATAAGGGGAGTCATACTGCATTCATCTTTTGTGACTGTCCTGCTTTGTTCAGTGCAATGCCTCTGAAGCCCTTCATACTGCAGCAGGCGACAGAATTTCCTGTCTTCTAAAGGCTAAATAATAAGGTGTTGCCGCCCTCCTCCAGGGGACACCTGGGCTACTTCCGCTTCCATCACAAACACAGGTGTGGAAACATCTCTTTGAAACCCCACTTTCTATTCCTTTGGATATTTACCAGAGGCAGGGCTGCTGGGTCACTGGAGGATTTAATTTTTAAATTTTTGGGTTGCTTCCACGGAGCTTGCACTCCTTTACTGCCCTGCCTGCAGGGCCCTCTCTCCACTGTGGGGATACACATCTCTCCCAGTGTCTGGTCACAGTAACCTGGAGCCTAGGAAGGCTTTGCAGAGAGGGAGCGGAGCTTACTACTAAGTCTAGACAGTGAGGTTACGGGGTCCTATTTGTCATTGCTGTGAGGAAATTGTAAGAAAATAAAGAAGTAAAACGAATGTCAGTGAAGAGTGATCTGGCCTTAACAGGGCACTGAAATTCTACAGTAAAAGCTCGCACCAGGAAGGTGAGTGCTCAGCGCTGGGCTGCATGGCTTCAGCTGGGTCCTGGGGAAGGGTTCCAGGTCCAGAGGATGGGCTCTGAGGAGGTCCCCTGAACCAAGAGAATCATAGGACAGCAAGATTGACCTGCAGGGGCCAAGGTAGAGCTCCGAGGGCAGAGCAGTGGAAGGACAGAGTGGCATAATGTGAGAAGTTTGGGGCTCTGCAGAGTGCTCCTTTGGGTCTTCAGCAAATCCGCAGCAGCTCATCATGGAGAGAAGCCATGCAGGTGAAAGAACCACCTGAAAGGAGCAAAGAAAGTGGTGCTGGACCACCGGCAGCAAGGGGGCTCTGTGGCTATAGTGAGAATCCTGATTCACAGGCCTCAGACCTGGTGTTGACTGGGTGCTACTGCTGTAGCAGGATGATATAAGCCTGCAGTATAACTGCTCTGTTCTGCCTCCTCAAGTTTACAAGCAGCCTTTGAAAGGACTATACTGTTTCCTAACTTACCTGATTCTCAGAGCAAGGCTCAGTATGGTTTGCAGGCACACAAATGTCCATCCTCCAATAAAATGAGATTTTTACAATCCTGGCATGGAATACAAAATTTCTAGTTGTGAAAGAAGCTCATATTGGCCAGGAAAATACAGAAAGTAATCCCTAAATACAAATTACTATAACTTTATTTTATGTGTTCTAGTAGATATTGTAAGAATTAGTTATATAAAGTAGAGACATGAAAGATATAAAAAATAATCAAAATGAAAACTTCTGGACATAAGAAAGTAATGCCTGGGATGAAACCATACATCTTCTTTGTTTTCTGAGCATCATTACTTATTCATAGTCACCAAGTTCCTTACCCTCCTTTGTCCTGACAACCTCATCTGTGAAATGTGGGCAACAGCTGTCTGCAGCGTTATTTCAGGATTTGAGGAAATGTAGGTGAAATGCTCAGCACCGAGGTGAGTGGGTTATGGGTGCTTCATGACAAGGATGCCACAAGGAAAAACAGGAAAGAAGCAGCCAGCCACTCACGGCACTCTTGGCTGGCAAACTGTCAGCAACAGCCAAAGATGGATTCCCCAAATCCCTCTCAGTCAGGTTTTCAATAGAGTAAAACAGAAGTGACGGCCGTCTAGGGGGTGCATCTCAGAAAAGAGACAGAAGCTCTCATTCTTTTCCATCTCTTCTCATCTCCACCAACTCTGCGGGCTGAGGCTCCTGGAAGCTGTGAGGGAAAATGAAAAGGAACCGGCACTGTGGTGCCTGTGATGGGAGCTGGGCTCCACACGTGTGTCGCCTTGGCTGTCGCCGATGCAGGAATCTCGTAGCACCTGTAAGCAGAGGCTGCCAGCGTGCCTTTCTGCACCCCATGCGAACGCGCCACACATTCGAGCACAGAACATTGCCTGATCTATTTTCCCTCCTTCTACTCTTAATAGATTGGAGCACAAAAGCCTGAGAGAGGGTGACCTGCCAGACAAAAGCGCCTTTGAGCTCCTTGGAAGAGTAGACTTGGAGGAGGATGGAAGGGATCCAAGTGCCCCTATTATTTCCACTTGCACTAATTAGACATTTTTCTGTCAGCTATTGAGCACTGCTGAGAGGCCAAACTCACTGAATTCATTTCTAAAGTGTTTACAGAAGTTTGCATCTGTTTGTGTCTCTTCAGGAGGAAAATAAGCACTTCAATAGCATTGTGGAGAATCTAAACGAATCATCCTATTCGGGAAGACCTGATATCCTGCAGCTGCATAATGTAACTCCGTGCGGGGCTCCAGCCTCGCATCTCGATCCAAAACCTAACGATGCTAAATGCGGAGAAGTCAGTTCAGGAGAATCTTTTCTTCCCTTTCATTTTCTTTGCGCTCCCTCTTTTGAAACAGCCACACGCTGTGAGGTACACACAGATTTGGGTGCAGATCTGGTGTGGCCCCTCTCGTGTCTCCAGCAGCACTCTGAGAAATTAATACCCACTTTCATTTGCTGCCAAGTGAGCGGATAGCAAATTCCTCAGCAGCAGAGCAGAAGCTCTCTCCCTTTTGGGAATCTCCCTGAGACGCAGGCCAGGGTCACACTCTGACATTAGAGGAGAGAAATGAAAGGGGCCAGAGCGTGTGGTAGGGGATGTGCACTGAAGAAAGAGTCTCCCTACACAGGAAAATGTGCCTGGGTTTTGCACAATTAGATTAACATGAAAGGGAGCCCCTCAGCCTCCCCATCCCCCCAAAAA